TTAAAATGCATTACAAAAATGTGTCAGCTGTGCTATGGTGATGTGAGTAGAGATCAAGAAAGGCACTGTGAAAATTTTGCTGAAATAGGTCACGAAACTCTTCATATAGCCCATATACCATCAAAAACACTTATGGATTGTGGATTATAGCATTAGAATTATTATCAAATCCGTTGGAATTATTTTCAAATCTGTTGGAATTGTTTTCAAATTTGTTGGATTTTCAAATCAAAATTATTTTCGAATCTGTTCTAAATTTTGAATTTGGTCGAATTTGAATAAACAAAATGAATCCCAAAAAACAAATTGAACAATTTATCTAATCGAAAGAAATTTAAATTAGTCAAATAACGAATCGAAACGAAATGAAACAAAACACATTTTTTCATTTTGCACATGTCTAAACCCCCCCCCCCAATTACCACAAACAGCCCCCCACCACCCCTCCTCCACAAGCTTTGCCTCCCCAATCTTACACGTGGGAACTACAGAAATAGTGAGGAGATGCGGGCTCTCTGTGATCTTCCCCCTCCTGTCATAACAGCGATCCTCCATACAGAAGGTTACACAGGATCGCTCTTAGATCTGATGGTACACGGCTTGATTACCCGCCACCTACCTACATTTCCAGGGGTTGGAGGAGATGGGGGCGGGTAATCAAGCCGTGTACCATCAGATCTAAGAGCGATCCTGTGTAACCTTCTGTATGGAGGATCGCTGTTGTGACAGGAGGGGACAGATCACAGAGAAGTCCTCACCTCATCCCTGCTGTCTTCTCTCTGCCGCTGTCACTTCTCCTGTCTGGACTGTTTGCTTGAGTTCACTGTGGCCGTTCCCGAGTGCGGGGGAGGTCAGTGGTTATTGGCACATTGTATATGGGGGGACCGGGGCGGACTGACAACTCATGGGGCCCCGGGCAATAGGGGATCATGGGGCCCCTTTGTCCTTGCCCAAACTCAAAAAAGCCTATGAAAAAGGTACCAGGGGCATCTCATGGGCCCCCTACTGACCCCAGGCCCTCGAGCAGTGCCTGGGTTTCCAAATGGTCAGTCCGCCCCTGTGGGGGGAGCAATACTGTAATCTGGGGGGCACAACTGAAATCTGGGGGGGGGGGGCACAGCCCACCCCAGTAACCTCCTAGATCCAGCCATGGCAACAAGCCATGCCAATAGTGTATACTAAGCAGCCTATGTGCAGCTCCATGTACAATCCAAATACATTTGAGAGCAGGAAAACAAGAAGTATTTATTGCAGGAGAGACATAGCATGTTTATTCTGCAATTAAAAGCCAATTTCTGCCACAAGCTACATAATAGAAGAACCAAATATAATTTACTCTTTGTAAAATGCAGACCATAGATAGTCAAGACTGCAACTGCCATTATTGATTTGTATAGCAGATTTGGCTGCTTAATAATTTTTACATACATTTATATTCCTAAGCTGGGGAAAACTGTTAACTATCTAATCAGTTGCGCATTTCCTAGGTGAACTCTTCTAAATTGAACCTACACTTGATTTGTGTGCAGAGAAAACGGTTTAAAATTCACAGCATGTAATTGCACGCTGCGGAAAACCAACATAAATCCAAGAAACAGATGGAAACAAGGCTTACATGAGGCCAAAGAATTTTTCAACAATGCTGTACACGGAAATAACAAATTCCAGCAAGATAAAATGTGGTAATAGCAAAGAGGGAGATTTCAAATATAAAACATAATTAAAATGATTTGATTAGCAAAGCTTTGTATTGGTTCAACATATGCCAGTCAGTTTAACCTTGTGTTGGCTTTGATCCATACATCTACAGAACCATACTGTACAGCATCTATCTATATATTCATCTGAAGCAGTTAAAATACATCCATGCCCCAACATTTCATAACTGAAATTAAAGTGATTGTAAATCCTCACCTTGTAAAACAACCCATTCAGTTTAAAACAGAAATTAAATTCAAAACATTTGTGTGTAGATATAACAAAAACATTGTATACACCCTTTTTTCCCTTTATATTAAAACACTTACCACCCCGCCTAATGTCAAGTGACGGCCGGGCGAACACTTTGTCCCTCTGGGAGGGCGTCATATGACATCCTTCCTTGACTGCGCTTTGCAGGGCCCCACTGTGGCCAATCACAGCAGGTCACTTGACAGTTGTATACAATGGATGGCTTCCTTTCATGCCATCCATTGTATACAAGTGTGTCTAGTTGTGAATGGTCGCAGCAATCACATGCACAAGCTGGGCCAATCGCAGCCCATCTGTGTCATGTGATTAGCCGTGGCCAATCAAAGCTAATCACAACCAAAAAAAACCTGAATGAATCGATTTCATTCAGTTAAACGCTTGCGAATAGCAAAGAAATTCTTTGCTATAAGCAATCAAATTGTGTAAAAAAAAATCACTTCCCCAAAGTAGTACAATGTTACTATGGTAACATTATACTAATTTGGTCATAGTGCAATATGAAAAAAAAAAATCTTAAAAAAAGAGACAAAATGTATTAAAAAATAAAAAACATAGAAAAATTAAAAAATGTAAAAAAAATTATCTTTTTTTTTTCTTACTGTCATCAGTCAGTGTCCCTGATCACCGCCACACCAGTTATATGCTGATGCTGTACTGTACTGGTGACAGTATGTAAAAAAAAAAATTGTGAAAATTTTTTTTTTTAATTTCTTTCTGAAAAATTATGAAAATAAAAAATTACATTTTCAAAAAACTAGCCATGCCTCTTATGAAATACATCAGACTGTCTACTAAAAGGGGTCATTTGGGGGATATCTGTACTGTTCTGTCATTTTTGGGCCTCAAGAAATTAGATTGGCTGTCAGTACTTCAGGATTGATCAATATTCAGATATATACCATAGTTTGTGAACTCTATAACTTTCTGATTTTGGGTGTAATAAATACTGATTTGGGAAACGTAGCAGAATACATTTTGGCCTAAATTTTTGAAGAACAATTATTTGTAAACTTTTATAATAAACAAAGAAAAACGTGTTTTTTTAAATAAAATTTTTGGTCTTTTTTTTGTTAATTTAACAGAAAATAAAAACCCCAGCGGTGATTAAATACCACCAAAAGAAAGCTCTATTTGTGTGAAGAAAATGATAAAATGTTAGTTTGGGTACAGTGTTGTATGACCGCGCAATTGTCATTCAAAGTGTGAGAGCACTGAAACCTGAAAATTGTCCTGGGCAGGAAGGGGGTAAAAGTGCCCGCTATTGAAGTGGTTAACCCCTTCCTGCCCAGTGCCATTAGTACAGCTTTTTTTTTTAGCACTGATCACTGTATTGGTGTCACTGGGGATGTCAGTGACACCAAGTCAGTTCTCCCCAGTGTCAGAATGTCAGCCGCAGTCTCGCTATAACTCGCTGATAGCCGCCATTACTAGTAAAATTAAAAAATAAAGAAAAAACCCAGTATCTATACCGCCATTTGTAAATGCTATAACTTTCACGTAAACCAATTATTTTACACAAATTGTTTTTTTTTTTAAGCAAAGACATGTAGCAGAATACATTTTGACCTAAATTTATGATGAAATTAGATTTTTTAAATTTTTTTACTGGACATGTTTAATAGCAAAAAGCCAAAAATATTGTTTTTTCTCAAAATTGTCGGTCTTTTTTTTAATAGTGCAACAAATTAAAAACGCATAGGCGATCAAATACCACCAAAAGAAAGCTCTATTTGTGGGAAAAAAAGGACATAAATTTAATTTGGGTGCAGCGTTGCATGACCGTGCAATTGTCAGTTAAAGTAACGCAGCGCCATATTGCAAAAAATGGCCTGGTCAGGAAGGCGGGTAAATCTTCTGGAGGGCAAATGGCTAAGGGTGATACCATGCAGTAAGTAGATTGTAGTGCAAGCACACTGGCCTCTTTGTTATGCTGTTCTGAAGAAGAGGCCAGCATGCCTCGAATGTGAGCACTATAATTTAGTTAGCTGCTATTGCCATAAATCCGAACTCCTACTTATGGTGATGGCTAACACAGTACAACACTCTACTGCTGCTACGATTACAAGTTTTAAAACAAAAAAAAAAAGGCTTTTTATTTTTTGTCTGGTTCCTTGCAGATCTGTGGCTCAAAATCTGAAAAAAGGGGAGGTAACAGATCTCCACATTTCAAATAGACAACATATCAAGTTTTTTTGTAGGTTATTAGATAAATACTTTTCAGATATTTTACACTGACATCTATGAATCTGTAGAGCTAACTAGGTTAAAAAGAAACACAAGGGTTACAACACTGAGTTCATCACAAATTGTCAAATAAAAAAATGAGACTGCCAACATTACTGGGTGTCCTTTAACCTCCTCAGCGGTCTGATTATTTCCGATTTTTTGTGCTGAACGCGGTACCATTGTTTTTGCATGGAAATATGTAGTTTTTTATTGTAGGCCTGTAATTTTTAGGAATAACTCACTGAAATCTGTACGAACAAGAGTCTAGTAAACATCCCGGGTATGATAAAATTTGAAACACAAAATCATAAATTATAATATAATAAATAATCATAAAAAATAATATAATAATAATAAATTTAATTCAATAATATAATCAAAACAAAAACACTGAAATTTGAAATACAGAGGCAAATTCGCACATCGCTGAGCAACGTCGCAAAATCGTTTTCAGTGTCTGATGACGAATTTCCCCACAAATCATTATCACTCAATTCTGCAAGTGGTTCTGATTTACTGAATGAGGAAAGACAAAACAGAGGGCCTGTGCGCCCTCTGTTTTGTCTTTCCTCATTCAGTATATTTGGATTTCCCCGGTCCATTTGAGGGCAGCAAGGTGTGCATGTTCCAGGACATTCTTAATGTGGTTGTAGCCTGCATCGAGTCCATCCCCAAGCGCAGGAGCATTTGTGTTTGCTGGTTCTTGGTTCTGATTTACTATCGCTGTTCTCTAGCTGGTCTAAAACCGCTTTTGACGTAAAGGGACGCTTTTTGGACGCCATGGACTTTTCTAAGTTTCCAGGCAAAAAGAACAGTAAAAATGCAGGCAGGGGACAGGACAAAGCAGTAGGGACAAAATATATGTGAAATGAATTGAAACAGCAATGTTTTACTATGTAATAATCATTTTTTAAAAATTTCAAGTTTGCCGCCGGTTCCAGTGCCCGTACGTCCCGACGTCACAGGGACCGGAACACGGAAGCCGGATGCCGGCATCAGCCGGAGGAGATGGCCGGGGACGCTGCAGGGGACACATCGTGGGAGCGAAGGACAAGGTAAGCTGCTGCAGGGACTCCCTGAGCAATGCCGCATGGTAATCCCGAGTGTAGCTCGAGGGGTTACCGCTCTTGGTACTCAAATTTTATCCCGAGCTACACTCAGGAATACCGCTAAGGAGGTTAAGTCAGGAATTATAGTGCTTCTATCATCTATCATTGAATGTCTATACCAGCCAGGCATTTCAGCTCATTAGAACAGTAACATTTAGGCCCCATGTACATGGGACACTTCTGAACTATGGAAACTGACTGCTGGAAAAGGTAGGTTAAAAAACGTCTGTTTAGCCGCGTTTGCATAACGCGTGTATGTGTGTTTATGCGCGTTTGTGTTTAGAAGCGTTTTTTAAAGATAAGCACAGGAGAACCTCCCAAATGCCCAGAATGCACTGCCAAGTGGTAAATTAACTATTTCAGACTGTTTCAGAGAAATACACAGAGTAGAAGCAGAGACAGCAGTAAGTGTTGAGATAATTAGGTGTGAGTTGCTCATTAACATTTCTTTTGTTTCCAAGGGTGGGAAAGGTGTCTGGTGGAAGAGTCATTAAGGCCACCTGGCAGGGGGTCTTCATGAGGAATTTTACATTAACATATCTTTTGTTTCCAAGGGTGGGAGAGGTCTGAGGTGTGAATTGGTCATTACAATGTGTGACAAGCTTGGTAGGAACATCCTGTGTTCAGTGTTTTGTCCATTTGAGTACCTTGAAAATGCTTTGCATGCATTTTTCATGATGAAAAAAGGCTCTAGACAGCATCGGGAACTGGAAGAGTTAAAAAAAAATTTCAAATGCTTATAAACCCGTGTTTAGCCGTGTTTAGTCGTGTTTACTTGCATTTGAAATGCTGATAAAATCAACTGCTGAACGCAAGTTTTCTGCGTTCAAAAAAACAACTGTAAACTGAAATGCCTGTACACGACTGTAAATGACTATGTGTACATGGACACATAGGAAAACATTAGGGTGAGTTCAGGGGCTGCTGAAAAAAACACTGAACAGTTCCTAAATGTGAGTTTATCAGCTGCAGTGTACATGAGCCCTTAGTCAGACCATGGGGGTTGATTTACTAAAACTGGTACACCTGTGCATGCTAGCCAATCAGCTTGTTCAATTAAGCATTGGCAATAAAGCCTGGAAGCTAATTGGTTTTTATGCAGCGCTGCACCAGACTTTGCACTCTCCAGACTTAGAAAATTAACCCTGTGGTTTCCTCTTTTCTACATAGCTGCTGCAGTAAGGCCCTCCATACATGGGTTGAAATTTTCGTCTGAAAATCGGACCTAAGAATAATCGGCCGATTTTTGCTCTGTTAGTGGGTCAATGGCACCGGACGATTTTCATTTTTCCTCCCGTTTCTGGGGATTGGGCATGTGGGAAAATTTGTGAAAAACGACCGACTTTCGACTCGACACGTTTTTCATGAGCCATGACCTGGAAGGAACAGAAGTTTTGCCTGTTATATGGGGTGAACTTTATGACTTGGTCGGCCAATTTTCGAAATAATTGATGGCACCATCAGATTACCGAGGAAACAACGTTTTCGATTTTCGGAAGAAAAATTGTTTGGAATTCGAACCATGTATGGTCTGCATAAGGTTGGCCATACATTATACAATTTTCTTGAGATTTTTGGCTTAGATTTACCAAAAACCATATAATAGGAGGTCGAACCTAACAATACTTTCAATTGTATCCAATTAGACAGGCTCTTTCACTACATAGTTGAAGGTAAATCTAAAGGAAATTGGGCAGAAATTGGACAGAAAATTGTACAGTGTATGGCCAACCTTAGATATGGTAAATCTTTGAAGCTTTATTTCACTATATCTCTCTTTGTTCTTTTTGAGAAGCCTTTCTTCATTTTAACAATAAAAAAAAAATCTGATTAATATATTTAAAAAAATATATTTTTAAAAATATATATTTTTTATATGTTCTTCAGGTTTTTTTTAACATATAAAAAAGTAATTTTATCATATATTTTTACATATATTTGTAAATGCATTCCAGAAATGTAGATTTGTACTTTTAAAGACATACAGTATATTTGAAATGTATTTTTAAAAATATTTTTTCATATATTTTGTAATAAAAACACATTTCAACGTGCTGTATATATATATTTACTGAAATATATTTTGAAATATATTGAATATGGCTAAAATTGTAGCATTTCAAATATATGGCAATATATTTGGGAAGAATATTTGTAAAATATATTTCAAATATATTTTTCTTCCATGTGGGTAAATACAGCGGGATTCGGCTGGGAGGGGAGGCGCATGCGCGCCCTGAACCTTGAAGCAGGCAGCAACGTACAGGTACATCGCTTTGCCTGTAGGAGCTGCCCGTCCACAGAACAATATGAGTGGGCAGTCCTGAAGTGGTTAATGGGTGAATTTTTGTCTGAATTCCCCAAGGTGAATTTCTAATAACCCACAAAGCAGTGCATAGCTTTTGATTCAAGACCAGCAGACTTGGAAGAGCCATCAAGGGGTTAGAAAACACAACCAAGCACCTTCATATAAAAGGAAGGAGGTTTAGAGCAGTGTCACTGTATTGAAGCTGCTTTGTTGGGAACACCTTGTACACTCCTGTGCCACCAGTCTGGTTTACAGCTGCGATAATATTGGCTGGCAGCAGGGTGGGTTTAATCAGCAAAACAGACCCAAAAGCAGAGACACAAAGCAGAGGCAGGTGCTATCCTACAAGGAATAATCAGCCCATAGGTGACCTCAGCCACTGGGCAGTTTAGTAGGTTATGGGAAAATAGAGGAGATGTTGCTGTAACAGGGGTGTACTGACCATTTGGAAATTCGGGCACTGCCGAGGGCCCGGGGTCAGTAGGGGGCCCCATGAGATGCCCCTGGTACCTTTTCCAGGGGCTTTTTTGACATTGAGCGAGGGCACAGGGGCCCCATGTTCCCCTATTGCCCGGGGGCCCCATGACTTGTCAGTCCGCCCCTGTGCTGTAAGTTAGGTTTAGAAAAGACAACAGTACAACTCTAGAGACAGCCCTAAGTACTAACTCCAGACAGATGAAACTCATGAAGATATCCTTGAAATACTAGGGTCTATTAACCGACTTGTCTGAAAATACCTACATTGATGCTCTTGTAGCCAACCAGAAGGCACAGGTCCCATAATGGAGGAATCTGAGAGGGATAAAAAATTAACAGCATCAGCATTAAACCCTAGTGTAGACTGGCATGCAAGTAAGGCTGGCCATACACTATTCAATTTTCTTACAATTTTCTGCCCAATTTTTTTTAGATTTACCTTCAACTGTGTAGTGCAAGGGCAAGGGCCTGCCTAATTGGATACAACTGAAAGTGTTGTTTGGGTTTGACCTCCTATTATATGGTTTTTGGTAAATCTAAAGCAAACATTTCAAGAAAATTGTATAATGTATGGCCAGCCTAACTGTGAATGGTGGATCTCCACTAGGGAAGATATTTTGTGAGTGGCAATGGCCAGTTTCAGCCTTTGAATACCCACATATAAGAAAATATATTTGAAATATATTTTTAAAAATATTCTTCCCAAATATATTAACATATATTTGAAATGTTGAAATGCTACAATTTTGGCCATATTCAATATACTGTATGTATATATATATACATATATATGTATGTGTATTACTTTACATATATATATATATATATATATATATATATATTATATATATATATATATACACTGTATGTTGTAATGCATTTTAAAACAAATCTGAAAAATGTATTTTTAAAAAATATATTTTTTTAAATATATTCTTCAGATTTTTTTTTACATATAAATAAGTCATTTGAACATATATGTTTACATATATTTGTAAATGCATTCTACAAATGTAGATTTGTGTTTTTAAAGACATACAGTATATTTACAAATATTTTTCATATATTTTGTAATAAACATGCATTTCAACATACAGTATATATTTATTGAAATATATTTTAAAATATATTGAATATGGACAAAATTGTAGCATTTCAAATATATGTCAATATATTTGGGAAAAAAAATATTATTAAAATGTATTTCAAATATATTTTTCTTCCATATGGGTATTAGATTAACAAATTGATAGAGTTGAACAAAATATCACTTGCCTGAAAGAATCCTAGTTAAGATTTTGTATGAACAACAAGCTCAGAAATGTGGAAAATATTTCAGAAGAAAAACCACCTAATAATAAAGGCTTTGCATTCTGACTTGCATGCTAAACATTAAGCAAAAGCCTAATTCAAACGCAGCCTAGTAGTGTCAGGCAGCCCTTGATAACGGCCTTTTGTGGTTCACATTAATCTTTGAAAGTTTGTCAAATATTGAGCAGTAAAAGCTCTTGGCTACATTCGGTTTCTTTTATTTTTTGGCTTTTTTCCCTTTATTTTCACCTGGTCATCCTGTCAGTAACACACTTCCTGTACTAGGGTGACAACTCCCACTCAATGTATTGTTTTAATGGAGGAACATGTCCCCTCTACAACATGAAATATGTTAGGACTACAGAACGCCTTCACTGCTTATCTCTATAATATAGGGAGTTGTTTGTAGAACTTCTGTTGACATTGTTTGTGACAACACTGCAGAGTGTACAGTAGCCATACAACACTGGATTTCCGCAGGGTTCAACAGGTATTTTTTTGCACTTATCAAAGAGATATAACAATACAATTTGAAGGGTGTATATACATTATGACAAACTAAAAGGGAGCAAATAAGAGGAGTTCATTGTTAGGGTGTAAATGCAGTTGTGAAGGTAAAAAAATGCAAAGTATGACACCTTCTGACCACAAAAAATTTTAAAACAAAAAAGGTGACCACATGTAAAAAAAAAAAAATCTGATTTCTACATAGTTTATGGTATTCTAAATATTGGTATCATTTTCAACTGTAGAATATGGGATACAATTGTTAATAGGTAATGATGAAATATATCAGTGAAACAATAAAACAACAAAACATAAAATGAATCAAAAATATTTATTCACAAATCATAAATATATTCTGTGGTTATAAAATAAATGTCCAAAACATTAAATATAAAATTTGTGTCCAAATACAAAAAGTGAT